GGCACTGTTACATAATGAAGAGATGAATCTGGTTTGACTTAGTAAGGACTGGTGCTGCTCTCTGGAAAGATAAGGGGTTTTTTTTGTGACTTTACAGACCTTGCAGCTACGGGATGGTACAGTGTCTCAAAGACAACTTTTGTCCCAGAGAGACACTGAGGCATATTGGCAAAGTGCGTTAATGATCCCGTATGGAGGGAGAAGCATGCATCAACTCCTGCTGTTTCCTCCAGGCCGATTCTTGAATTCTGAATCTGACACATGGTTACATAGTTCTCCTCCCATTGTTGGTGGCTTTGAATAGTAAATTTCTGTTCTGAGCAGAAAGAAAAAGATTTTGTCAGTAATCCTGACAGCCTGTAGCTTTATGGTCAATGAACAACTGCAGTGAGTTAGTCGGGCTGGTATCATCCTTTAGTTCTGAAGAGTACAGTTCTTAAAGAGCCAATATCTGGCTACTGTAGGGAAGTTTTAGGTGAGGAGAGAGAAAAAGGGATCCTGGGTTGCCCCCCCCCCCCCCCCCCAAATATTCATTTGGGGGGGGGAAAAAAAAGAGACAGAATGGCAAAAAGACGGCGTGGGGGCACAGTAGCAAGAGTGATTTGAATCTGCTTTGAGACTGCTACCAGTCTACAAGGTGGAACAGATTTTCATGTTGGAAAAGTTTGAGAGTAAAGAATGAGAACTTGTTCTCATAAACAAAAGAAGTTCTTCTGCATTTTATGACAGATGAATTGAAAAGTGACCAGACAGGAACTGCAAGTAAGAAGTGCCAGTAGGTTTCCTTACCAAGAAATTCACTCAGTGATAGCAAAAAGGTACAAAAACGGTACACAAACTCAGCATAAGGGCTTTGGATGGCCACGATATGACTGGCCATAGGTGCAGTGTTCCACTGCTGCTGCAGCAAGGTAATAGCCTGGGGCACGGGTTAACTGCAGCTTCATCTTCATGGAAAGAAAATCCCATTGACTCCTGAATACTTAATATGCTTTGCCTGTTCTACTGTGAGATCATGCTGGAAACAAAACTGCAGTTTCAGTGGGAATTAAGTATGTAAGGCCAAACATGGGCAAAATCATCACTGCTTTTCCTAGATAATGCCTTGCCTTTAGATAAAAATCTGTGTGCTTCAGAACAATATTTGTTACCTCCTTTTTTGTTCATCATTGTTTTAAAAAATGAAAACTAGTGCTTTGTAGAAACTAAAACAATGCTGCAGGGTCTGTACTTTGTGTGTCTGTTTCCTCAACTGATACAGGAACGAAGAATATTCGGGGGAATATTCCCATTCAACGAAAGACAAGGCAGAGGTGAAGCCAAGCTGTTTGTCTCGTTTTGCTCTGTTTTGAAAAATAACAAGGTAGTGTATTTAATATTACATTTTTATACTTCCTGCACTTATGTTTTCCTTTTTTCTTTAACATGTTTTAACACCCCTGTAAATGAATCAATTTTTTGCTTCCTTCTTTTATATATCGGTTATGCTGCTTTTAGTCTGAAGTTCCAGTGACTCACATAATTTAAAACTAATAAACAAGAAATTACCTATTTGAAGAACTGGTTTTAAAGAGTAACAAAAGATGTAGGAAGACACTTTTATGGTTGACCTTCTTGACCAATTCAAAAACAGATGTTGAAAATGTATTGGAAAACTGAAGCCTGAAGTCCATCTATGGCCTGATGGTCCAATTTCAGCCTTGCATGTACTCGCAAGTATTTGAGCTGTCATTCAGAAATGCTGATCTTTTTTTTCACCAGCCAGATGATGGTAAAAAAATAATTTAAATGTAAGGTATCCTGACCTACTAATATGTTAGTTTCATTAGAATTATCAGAAGACACCATAATCCCTGCCTTGTTTAACAGCTACAAATAGCAATTGTCACCTGGTTTAACAATTGTAAACAGGAGATAGAGTTTACCATGGAGAAGGAAATGCCACTGCGATGCAAAGGTAATCCTAATCTGATAAAATCCTTAAAGGGAAGAAAATGTCAATATTTGATTATCCCAGCTCTTTGAACATAACAGACAAGATACTCAAAAGATTTTCTGTTAACATTGTGCAAAAAAGGTTTATGTAAGCCTGTGTGTTAAATCAAAGTCACATAGAATTGACTATTCAGGAACAATTATTTCCTGAACAAAGAAAAACAAAGAAAACTTGGCTAACAACTCATTTTGCCACTATACGTTCTGTCTTACCGCTTACTAATTAGCAATGATGAGAAAGGTAATGCATGTAGATAAATGTCTGTGGCTTCTACTATATTGTTTTAAAGTGAATTAGAGACCTAAATTAAACAGACCACTCCCTATTTGCATGGAACCGTGTACATATTTCCTATGGAAACCTGAAACCACATGAAACTCGAGCAGTTTCACTTTGAAAGAAACCAGTTCTGTGCATACAAACGTACACAAATCCTGTATTAGAGAATACACCACCAAATGTGCCAGAAGTCTTAGCTGATAACGGCAGGAATCTCTCAAGACTGTGTCGGGATTTAGTTTCAAGGATTTCAAGAAACTGGTGGCACTTGCTTCCAAAAGTTGTATAGATTGATAAAATCTATCTTCAGCACAAAATGAAGTGTTTTTCTGTTTGGGTTTGTCGTGATTTGGGTTATTTTAATTTTTAACTTATATTGTGCTTGTAGTGAATCTGAGTATTAAGATAAAATGTAAGCTTGAGAAATCAAATTAATCAAAATTGTCATATGAGTTTCTCGTGGCCAATGCTGTGGAAAGCCACAAAATTAAAATCCAAATTTTAAGCACTGGTGCCTTACCAGTGAAGTTACTGGTTCTTACGTCGTCTTTGTATAAAATGTATTCAGTGAAAGTTTCTCTCATGATATGAGACTGCCCAAAGAGGTGCAGAGATGCCTCCACGTGTAGAGGAAGAGAGTTCTTTCACTGAAGGTTGGAACGCAGACAGTCCTGCGAGATTCCTGCGCACGTTCTCTTTGAGCAGCTCCTAACACAAGCTGGTTAACCAAATTTCGCCATATATCTGCTAAAGCCTGTAATTCGACTAAATCCACGCTTCCCTCGTTGGTATTGGTTCAGGGGACAGTCGGCTTTACACCTCGATTTAGCTAAAATCTGCTCCACGGCATGTTTGCTGACCTTTTCCTGCGGGTTCTGCGGGTGGGCCCGCCGCGCTGCAGGCCAGGCTCGGGGGCCCCCGATCGAACGCCTCTCCGTCATCCACTGTTTCACCTTTTCTACCGTTTGATTTGTAA